AGAGAGAGAGAGAGAGAGAGAGAGAGAGAGAGAGAGAGAGAGAGAGAGAGATGAGCGATCCAAGATTGGTTGTCACTTACCTGTGAGGCGAGTTGCGTAGTCCGGTGGAGAAGGAAGATAGCGGCCATAGCCGCGGAGCATCAACACAAAGTACCGAAGGAGAGAGAGAGGGAGGATAGAGAAGGAGGGACTGAGGAGAGAGAGAGAGAAGTGTGGAAGGAGGATATCGAAGAAGGAGACAGACATAGCCGGGGGTGCAAAAAAAAAAAAAAAAAAAAAAAAAAAGAGAAACGGCAGAAGAAAGACAGTGAGGAAGAAGAAGGTGAAGGGAGGGGAAGAAGTGACGAGGGTGACGAAGGTGAAGGTGCCGGCAGCCATAGCCGAGGTAAAGGGTTGACCAGGGGTTGACCAAGGGGTTGACCAGGCGTTGACCAAGGGGTTGACTGAGCGTTGACCAAGAGTTGTTCGCGTTGACTCAGCGTTGACCAAGGCGTTGACCGGAGCTGCTGACCAAGATTTTGACCAAGCTGGAGTTGGTGATGTCTCGCTGAGCCCTTAGCCTATCCCCTTACCCTGTGGATGAGCAGACACCCTACGGTACTTGCTGAGTCTGGGTCTGTCTGTCTTTCCCTTCTTCATTGAGTCTCTTCTGTCCTAGGTGTTAGGACTCTGTGGATGAAGGATAGGGTTGGATGACGAAACCTTAGTCTGACTTTGTAGGGCTGAGGCTGGGGCTGATCCAACTTTCCAGGGGGGCATAACCCTCCCAAGGACTGGTGCTGACCGGCTGGAAACGGTTGGTAGGACTCAGTGGGCCTGAACGGCAGCTAAGGCTGACACACCAGCCAGTCTTTAAGTATTGAGGGCCTGTTTGAACCACCCCCCTACCGGACCCTGTAAGGCTGATGATCTGTGTCTGACGACTCGACTGACCCGGGGGACACGAACCCCTCCAAGGACCGGTACAGACCGGCGGGCTGCTCGGTGTGGCACAGTAGGCCGGAAAGGCTGAGTTGTGGGTTGAACGCACAGGCAGAACCACGCTGATCACGTCGTCCTGACTGCGACGTTAAAGAATTCTTGCGGAGTTTGGGGGATCTCCTTAAATGCCTCCAGATCAGTTGTTGGTTCAGTAGTGACAGCCTTAGAGTAGTTTTGAGTAGTGACCTTAGAGAGTCAGTCAGTAGGTCAGTGTCCGGGTAGGTCTAAGTGGTGAGGAGTGGGACTCTTGTCGTGCACCTGACACCACGATGGATGACTATCCGATGTATGGGTTGCTTGTTGGGTTCTCCCTCTGAGGGACCCTCTGGCGTCTCCTCTTCCCTCTGGGTTGGCCCACTCTCACGTGTAGAGTAGACACCCGGGGTGGTGCCTCCACCAAGCCATATACGAAAGAGGAGGAGGAGACGATGGCCGCCATTCTGAGAGAGAGGAAGGAGAAGAAGGAGGCCAAGAAGAAGGCCTTAATGGAGGAGCAGGCGGCCAAGTTGAAGAAAATTGAGGAGGAGGCGGCCAGGGAGAAAGAGAGAATAAAGAAAGAAGAAGAGGAGAAGCTGAAAGAGGTGGAAGAGGAAGAGGAGGAAAATGAAACGCCACTGCAAAGGAAGAGGGGGCAGTACAATGGCAGCAAAGATGATGAGATGGAAAAACGGATTTCAGAGTGGGTCGCCCACTTATCCCTGGGCGAAGAAGAAGAAGCGGTGATGTATATTCCCAAGGATGAGCAAGAAGCCGCTATGAAAAAGTGGGACGCAAAAGAAGATGTTCTGAAGCGGCAGGCGCTGGAAGATGAGAAAAGGATGGAGTGGCAACTCACAGTGATGAGGGAGAAGAAGAGGAGAGTGGACGCGGCAGCAGATGTGGCGGAAGAATTGGAGGAGGTAAAAAAGATAGAAGAGCAATTAGCCGCCCAGGCCGAACTCCCAAAGAAAATGGAGGTTATAGCCCGAAACGTTGCACGCTTAGCGCGAATTCAGGCAGAGCAGTATGACTTCAGTAGGAGTCAGCATATAGCTGTGCGTTCAATACGATTGGGATTTCGGGACTTTGCTCGTGAGTTGGTGGGAGCTGTAGGAACCGAGGTGGGTCATCGCCTCGACAAGACTGAGCGGTTTTGTGTTGGCGCCATTGAAGGCGTCAAGGCGGCAGCTCCCAAGGAGGAGGAAGCACGTCCTCGCCGGGAGCCGGTCAAAGTCAAATTCCCTGATTCCTACAGTGGAAAACGGGAAGAAAACTTTGACAATTGGGAGGCCAATGTCAAGACCTATGTGCATCTGCAACAGGTCTCCCCGGATCAGCATGTTCTAATTGCGATCCACGCGCTTAGAGATGAGGCCGCCAGCTTCGCAAGGTCCCTAGTTCGTGTTGCCAACTGCAATGATGATGCAGTTGCGTACTCGTCGTTCACTCCCCTCATCGATTTACTGAAGTTGCTGCGCGAGCGATTTGCTGATATCGCTCGTAGTGTTAAAGCCTCAGACAGGCTGCAGACGATCCACTCTCGTCAGTGGAAGAGTGCCAGGGCACTCAAGAGCACAATGGATGAATTAGTGGCTGTACCTGACCACCGGGTCACCGACACCCAATTGGTTGCCCTCTTCCATCGGGCTATGCCCGAAGCCTTTCGAGGGCACTTCTTCTCGAAGAGCGAAGACCCTGCCACCACTTACGATTCCCTTAGCCGTGAGGTGGTAGCCTTCGAGGCAAAGTCCGTGTCAGTTTCCACCTTCTGGCACAAGGACTTGGACAATGGCAAGAAGTGGAAAGGCCGCACTATCTCTGGGCAAGTGAAGACTAAGGACAGTCTTGTCCTAACTTTAAATGAGGGTAGTGTGGATGAGATCCCCTACGATCAGATTGAGTGGGGGTTAGAGGAGGAGGACAGCGGTGTGGGCCAGGGGAGGACTTACGCTGCTGTCGCGGCTGGAGGGAGGCCGCAAGGAGGAGGACGAGGCCAGGGCGAAGGGGGCCGGGCCTCAGGGAGCCGGTTTCAGGGCGATCAGGGGGTTGGCGGCAGAGGAGGAAAACGCCAAGCGGGAGGAAGGGGTCAAGGTCCCCCGCAAAACCGTCCTAGGAACAGGTCTCCCTATAGGGTAGGCGGATGGCACCCAGGGCTACCGCAAGGTAGGCCTTGGGAAACTTTGGGTCTGGACCAGAGTTTATGGCAACAGCGATTGGACCAAGGCCAGTGCATTTTCTGCGGTGATCCGGGCCATATCATCAAATATTGTCCTAAGTATCGAGAGACCCGAACGGCTGCTCAAGGGCCAAAAGGCAGCCGCCGGTAGGGGTAGCAACTGCCCTTACCACAAGGCCATGTGGGGAAAATAGCGCTAGCCGACAGGAGACTCCCACACCACATGTGCCTAAGGCAGAGGTTGCAGGCCGGTATCTAGATAGCTGCCCAGAGACTGCTTGTGTTAGGGTCTCCTAGACACCTCCCTCACAGGCGTGGCCGAAGAATTGAAGGACAGGATGCCCGCCTGGGCCAAGATGAAAAAGGAGAATAAAGGGCAACTTATATTGGTAGATACAGAGATTTTTAGAGGTAGAATTGGCGCCTTAGTGGATAGTGGAGCCACTCGTAGTTATATTAGTAGGAAGGCGCTACAGAAGCTGAAGTTGCAGTTAAAAGTCCAAAAGTTAGCAGACCCTGTAGTCAGTATCCTTGCGGATAATCGCACGATGCGAGTGGAAGACTACGTAGAGGGAGTCCAGGCGTATTTCCGCCTAGAGAAGGATGAGAAAGTAGAGAAAGTTCTCCATTCCCTGACTCTCCTCGTAGAGGATAGCCTCCCATTCGATATAGTCCTGGGTATGGACTGGGGAGAGGCAGCCGGGGCCACACTCCACTTGAGGGATCATGAGTGTAGGCTCCCTAGCCCGTCAGGTGATGTCAAGACTGCGCGTCTGTACCATGTGTCAGGAGTAGATGACTCCTTGGCACATTGCTGCCTTAGTGCTCCTGCGTTTGCACGACTAGTGAAAAGGGAGCAGCTAGAAGAACAGGTCTTTGTAACCTATGTTAGGCCAGTCACTGAGCCTAAGGAAGAAAAGCCTATAGACCCTGCTATTGCCAAGTTGCTGGAAGAGTTTAAGGACCTAGCTGAGCCGCCGACAGGGACAGTGCCGCGGCCCATCCAGCACCGTATTGAGATAGAGCCTGGCAGTAGAACTCCTAAGGGCGCTGTGTATAGGATGTCCCCGCGGGAGTTAGAGGAGCGTCGCAAGCAGTTGGACGAGCTCCTTGAAAAGGGTTGGATTAGGCCCAGTTCATCTCCTTTTGGAGCACCTGTTCTCTTTGTCCCCAAGAAGGAGGGAGAGTGAAGGATGTGTATAGACTATAGGGGTCTGAATGCTATCACAGTGAAGAATGCTGAGCCACTGCTTAGGATAGATGATCTCCTAGATAGAGTGCAGGGGTGCAAGTATTTCTCTAAGATAGATTTGAAGTCCGGATATCATCAGATAGAGGTTCACCCTGATGATCAGTACAAGACCGCGTTCCAGACTAGATACGGGCACTATGAGTTTATAGTGATGCCCTTTGGACTAACCAATGCGCCAACAACTTTCCAGCGGTGTATGAATGACCTGTTTAGGCCTTGGTTAGATAGGTTTGTCGTAGTTTATCTGGATGATATCTTCGTATTTAGCAAGACCCTCGAAGAGCATCAGGGTCATCTCTGGCAGTTCTTGGAGAAGCTGAGGGAAGCTAACTTCAAGATCAACGCAAAGAAGTGCGAATGGGCAAAGACCCAAGTTTTGTATTTAGGCCATGTCTTAGGCGGAGATGGCATCAAGCCCGAAGACAACAAGATTGCAGCAATTAGAGATTGGCCGACACCGCGTATGTTGACAGAGTTGCGGTCGTTCTTAGGCCTAGCAAACTACTATAGGAAGTTCGTGAGGAACTTCTCCACCATCGCTGCGCCCCTTCGCAGATTGCTCAAGAAGGAGACCATCCGGAAGTGGGATAAGGACTGCACGTCTGCTATGAAGAAGTTGAAACAGGCGTTGATAGAATATCCAGTCCTTAAAGTAGCCGACCCGTCCTTGCCCTTTGTCGTCACTACGGACGCTAGTCAGTACGGCATAGGAGCTGTGTTGCAGCAAGACGATGGCCATGGTTATAGGCCCGTAGAGTTCATGTCCGCTAGAATGCCTTCAGAGAAGGTCGCGACATCTACCTATGAGAGGGAACTCTACGCTCTCAGGCAAGCCTTAGAACACTGGAAGCACTACTTGCTTGGGAGGCACTTCAAAGTCTATTCCGATCATGAGACATTGAGATGGTTAAAGACACAGGCCAAGATGACACCTAAGCTTACTAGGTAGGCCGCAGAGATAGATCAGTATGACTTTGAGCTCAAGCCGGTCAAGGGAAAGTATAACGTAGTTGCGGATGCTCTGAGTAGGAGAGCTGATTACTTTGGGGCAATAGTGCATTACCTAGACATAGGGAAGGACCTGCAGCAGAAGATTAGAGAAGCCTATGCGCAGGATCCTATCTATAGTGACCTCCTCAAGAGGGTCAAGGAGGCCCCAGAGACTGAGCCGAACTACCACACTACTGAAGGGTTGCTCTTTGAGAAGACTAATGTATTTGACCGCATGTGCATCCCCAATAGTGAAGACGTCTGTAGTCTGATCTTGGGAGAATGCCATGACACAGAGGATCATTTTGGTTGGCAAAGGACTTTAGCCAATCTGATGCGCGCATGCACGTGGGCAGGGATGAAGAATGGCTGCCTAGAGTATGTCCGCAGTTGTAAAGTTTGCCAGCGTAATAAGACCAGGACGCGCGCCCCGCTAGGTCTTCTCAGACCCTTGCCCATTCCAGATCAGCCGGGAGACTCAGTGTCCATCGACTTTATGGACACCCAAGTCAAGAGTAGGCATGGTAAGAGCCAAGTCATGGTCATAGTTGACCGTTTTAGCAAATATGCAGTCTTTGTTCCCTTGCCGTCAGAGGCACGTACATATTTTGTGATACAAAAGTTTTTCGACTGCTGGGTTAGTGAGAATGGAATCCCACTGTCAATAGTTAGCGATAGAGATAGTCGCTTCACCAGCCAGAACTGGCAAGAACTCATGGGAGTGTATGGATCTAAGTTGTTGATGTCGTCTGGCCGCCATCCTGAGACTAACGGTCAGACAGAGCAGATGAACAAGATCCTACAGCAAGTTCTGCGCACGTACATTAGGCCAGATCAGATTAACTGGGATGAGATGTTGCCTAAAGTAGCTAGCGCGTATAATAACAGCGTCCATCTGTCCACCTGCCGCACTCCCAACGAACTGCACAAGTCCTTTAGACCGCGCAGACCGTTTGAGGGACTCAACCGGGATCAGATTCACAGATTACCGCTTGGGACCAGGGAGTTTGTTGTACAGCACGAGAAAGAACTACCTACTGTTGTAGAGAACCTCAGAAAAGCCCAGCACCGAATGATAGAGCAAGCCAACAAACATCGTCGCCCCTCACAATTCCAAGTAGGCGACTTAGTCTGGGTCAGTTCTAAAGAGTTTGCACCTGAGGAGAACATCTCGCAAAAGTTACTGCCCACCTATAGGGGATTGTGGCCAGTCTTAGAAGTCAAGGGTGGCGAAGATGGTCCATCCTACACCATTGAACTGCCCCTACACCTCCACACCTACGCAGTTTTCCATGCGTCAAAGTTGTTGCCGTGCACAGTAAGTGATCAGTTTCCATCTAGGCGGTCTACGATCCCACCTGACATGAACGGAAGATACGACATTGTCGACATCATAGTTGAAGATGTGTTCAGAACAGGAGGTAGAGGTCGTCCTCAGAAACAATACAAAGTCAGATTTTCATATCAAGAACCAGAAGACGACCGGTGGTTCACTAGGACTGAACTTCTAGAGACGGCTCCCGACATAGTCCGCGCCTACGAAAGAGATAAGAAAGGTAAGGGTCCTGCCTTGGACTGAAATTTTATCGGAGGACCTCGAATTTAGGCCAGCGGGAGTGAAACGGTATTCACCGGTTTGCAGTAGCTGATGCGGATCCCAGGGCTCGATCCCTCGATCCCCACCTTACCTGTGTACAGTATCTGTGTCAACCCGTAGAATTGAACCCGCGACCTGTAGGACCGCCAGTGGTAGGTAGGATTTCGTAGGTCACAGGGTAGAAGGGATTCGAACTGTAGACCTGTCAGGTAGGAGTCTAGACAGTCCAGAGGTCGTAGCTGTAGATTGTCTGAAGGGTCAAGGTCGTAGCTGCTACTTACCTGAAAGGGAAAAGTCGTAGCTGCTACAGTACCGAAAGGCCAAGACAGAGGTTTCTAGAAGTGGCCTTTCGGAGTAAGCCTACGTTAGATAGAGGCAAGTGGTCAAGTGGTGGCAGTCCACCTCGTACAGTCAGCAGTCCCAGTCCACCCAGTCCGGTCCAGTCAAGCAAGTACCGTCTGGGACTGTGTGCCCCATGGGCCAGGGGTTACAGGGCAGACCAACGCCTCACAAAGTATAAATCAAGAGGCTGCGCCCAGCCATTCATGGATTCCTGCGGAAGCCATGCGGAAGCGCTGCCTCAACGTCTTGTGCAAGGAGGTTTGCTGGAGGCCCGAAGACGAAGTGGGCGAGAGTGAAGCAGTGTAGCCATAGCGATAGGTAGCGGCAGCCATAGCTGCCATAGCTTAGTGTAGAGTGCAGTGTGTGTGTACTGTGTGAGTGTTCAGAGTGATGTGCGTGGGACATCCAGGGTGATCCAGAGTGTGAACAGTGAGTTGTTTGAGGAGAGTGAAGCAGTGTAGCCATAGCGATAGGTAGCGGCAGCCATAGCTGCCATAGCTTAGTGTAGAGTGCAGTGTGTGTGTAC